CTTGCTGTTTAGTTGAGTTCCAAAAGATCCCCAAAGCCAGTGTTGTGGAGTGTTTTACTCGTATCTTCTTCATGTTTTTAATGGATTCTGTCATATATTTGAGTCATTAATCTGTTTAAGTTCATTAAGTCATTAATCTGTTTGTGTATGGCGTGAGAAGGTGATGGGTCTAGTTTCATCTTTCTCATATGACTGTCCAGGTTTCTTGAGGAGACTCCTTCCTCCATGGTCTGCTCGTGGCCCTTTGTTGTAATTAACTGTCCGTATAGAAAGGTGGGCTTATTTCTGGGCTCTCGATTTTACCCCATGGGTCTGTGCATCTGTTTTTATTCCAGTGCCATCTTGTTTTGATTACTGTAGCCTTGCAGTATAGTTTAAAGTCTCCACTCCCCTTTTTTGTCAAAACTGCTTTGGCTGTGCAGCGTCTTTATTGGCTGGTTTCATATAAATTCCAGTATTTCTTTGAATAAGTTCATTGGAATTGTGTTAGGAGTTGCGTCGAATCTGTAAATTGCTTTGGGTAAGATGGACATTTTGATTATATTTATCCTTCCAGTCCAGGAGCACGGTATGTCTTTCCATTTCCTGTGTCTTCTGCTTCTTTAGTGATCGCGTATAGTTTTCATTGAATAGGTCTTCCACTGCCTTTGTTTTTTCCTGTGTTTGATACTTCTGTTGCTAATGTAAATTGAATTGTTTTCTTGGTTTCTTTTTGTTCTGGTTCATTATTTGCACACAGGAATGCATCAGACTTATTTTTGTAAGTGACTTTGTAGCTAGCTGCCTTACAGTATCTATTTGTTTCTAACGGTTTCTAGGAGAATCTTCCGAGCTTTCTGGCTATATAAAACTTTGTCCTCTGCAAACAGTTCTACTTCTCATTTGCCAATTTATATTCCTTTGCTGTCTTTCTCTTGCCTAATTGCTCTAGCCAGGACTTCCAGTATTATGTCGCGCGGTCGTGGTGAGAGTGGACATCCTAGTTGTGACCTGTCTTAGGAGGAAAGACCGTCTCTCACCCTGAGTGTGATGCCCGCTGTGGGCTTGTCATAGACGGCACGTACAGTGTTGACGTGTCGCCCTTCTGGCCTATTAAAAAGGCAGTTCTGACCCTTGCTGTAATGTGGGAGGACCCTGGGGACATGGTGCTTAGTGACAGCCTGTCTGATTCCAGCCGTGAGGTCCCCGGAGAAGTCACATCCAGAGGGTCAGAAGTAGGACAGTGGGCGCCAGGGGCTACGGCGGGATGGGGGGGTTGGGTGGGGCCGAGTCTCAGTCTGGGGGACAAGCTCCGGCTGGGCGGGGGTGGCGGCTGTCCACAGTGTAGGTGTGCTGAAGGCCCTGAGCCGCACCCAGGGCTCCGGCGGCCTGGCCAGGTCGCAGCCCGGGGACTCTGCAGCCTCGGCCCCCGCGGCAGCGGCTGTTGCTTGGTGCGTGGCCCTCGTCACACCTGTGTGTGAGCGCCTGTCCCGCCGCCGCCCTCCGCCACACCGTGCCCCTGAGGCGGGGGTGGCACGGCTGGGACGCTAGGTCGGGGCCACAGATGCCTGTGGAAACAATAAGTGGCCTTTGGGAAGGTTCTCACCCTCCCTGTGCCTCGGTTTCCTCGTTGGAAAGACGGAGATGACCGGTCGTGTGGGGCGCTGCTGAGTTTGTGGCGTACGTGCCGCTCCATGCACCCCTGTCCGCCCCGGGTACCCCCTGGCCTGGGTACCCCCCCACCCCCAGGACCCACACCCACCCTGCCCTGCCTGCCCTGGG